TCTCCATCTCCCTTTTTCCAAGAAGTTGCGGGGAAGACTACCCAGATATGCGGGAGAGTCCCGATCAGGCAGTCGGTGAGACGTGGACTTGATGTGTTGGAGTCGGTAATTACTTCCAACTATTTCCTTTGTTTCCTCAATGATGCTTGTTTGATCATGAAATTACATCAATTGTGTTTTTTTCTCTCTTCTTCTTCTCGAATCCTTCCCCTATCGCTCTATTCTGAGTTTAGACTTGTTGAGTATTTTGCTGGTCATTCCTTCCTTGAAAGTTTCAAGACTAGTAGAATACGTATGCGTATAGTACACACTTACACATGGCTAACCATATTGACCTCCACACTCTATACTTCTTGCAAGTCCATACATCATAACAAGGGTGGATACCCACATGCTCAACGGCCTTGCGCAAAGTGGGGACTAATTACATCTGCACTCGTTTCACAATCGATAGCTCTCGTGTTGATCGATAGTCGGTAATCTACTAATGGCCGCGGCATGTTCTCCCGATCGCTGGCTAGGTATTCAACGGTGTAATGAATCTCTTCTTCCTTGTGTTCGGGGTTTACTCAGCCGAGGTCGATCAACCAACATGGGTCCCACTGAAAAGGTACACTGCTTTCTCTCTTCCTCTTCTGTGAACACCCCGCCCTTGCTCAGATGTGTTCATCATGACCCACTCGGAGAGATTCCCCAAGCGAGTAATTCTTTTGCAGGGGAAAAGGAAGAAAAGGGGAAAGCGGGACATGGGAGATGACGTACTTCAGGGACGAGATCGGTGACTTTGTTACCATGCCGGGTAAAGGACCAGCTCGGCGCGCCTGCCCGTCTACCAAATGTGCGGGAACGGAGGCTACGTTGGCAGGTTAGAGGGGGTATTTGCCAAAGTACGTACATACATACGTAAGGGTGAGCTGAAGGAATGCATGAGATTGCTGTGGCAAGTGCAATGTCAAAGCCCTTGAGTCGTCTTAGTGTTATCACCTGTACATGTCAGATCGCATTCTCCACCGTACGTGGCTGACGGCATGTCGTGTACTACATGCAAGTACCATGGTTCTTGTTCCAGCAATCGCAAAAGCATGTAGGGCGTGCCGAGTTGCGACCAGGGACCTTGTAACGTATCATGGTAGACAGTGGGCGTAGCGTTCCCGTGCAGAAGCGCCCGCGGAGAAACCCCAATCTACTCCAACTGATTTTCTTATACAGACCCGCTTTTGGAGCTGCCTAGTCAAGCCATGCCTGTCATATCCGGGTCCACAAGCGCGTGTGTAACAGAGTAGCCGGACCCAACGTCTGGTTCTGGACCACGAAACAGAACAGCACAAGGCCGCGTGATAAAGAATAGGAAAGGAAAAGACGTCGGGGCCGATAAATCCGAGTAAGCGCACGATGCGTGATAGGCTGCGGAGAACATTGCCTAATAGTCAACGACCGTTGTCCAAATGCTGCATCATGGGCATTCCCTCACTTGCATAACGGCCGATTCCAATTCCCCCACTACCTCATGCTGTCCAACCAGATACTCCATGTACAAATCTGATACTGACTGAACCGCCTTTGCTTGGACGCCTACCATGTCACTTGTGTAACCTCTCGGGCCGTCTCTTTCTCATGTTCCAACCGGGGAGGAATCCGGCTCAACCTCTCTCTGGGCTGCACGCCGTGTGGTGTAGTGGCTAGGCGGGAGAGCAAGGTCATACACACACACACACACACACTTGCGAAGACCCTGAGGATCACCCATGAAGCCAAAGGAGAAAAAGTGGGGAGGCTGCATAGTATGTAAGCAAGAAAGGTTCAAGAGAGAGGGAAGAAAGAGACGGGTTGACGTTATGTAACTGGAGTGTGGGCTATCAGACGATATGACGTCAATCTCGCCAGACTCTGGGGATACAAGCAGCAAGTCTGAAGGAAAAGGAAAGAGAGACCCGCATCGGCGCGACAGACTCAGGCGTTTGAGGTAGGTGTACACCATTTTGGGGACTTCGGAGCTCGTTTGATGCCGGCGGCCGCCACGGCCTCTGCCATGCACATGTTCGCAACCAGGAAAGGGAAGGGAGGGAGGAGGGGCCACGGGAACAAGGGGACACAGAGAGCGGGGGGGGGTTGGGTATGGAACCATGACTTGGGAAACAGCCTTCGGGATTTCGTGCCGCATCCAATAGCATCAATGTTGCCAGAAAGAGAGAAAGAGAGTGGCGATCATATCGACTCTCTGCCCACCCCTAGGTATATGCAGCAGGTAGCGATATGAGGGGGTATGGTACCCGTTGATCGCAAATAACCATGGCGGCGTCTGCTGCGAAGAGACGGATATGCCGGGCGTAACGTGTAAAGACGCAGTAATGGTGGGGGCTTCCTTCCACGCCTCAAAGAGACAAAGAGAGAAAGAGATATGCATGGAAGAAGAAGGGCTCATATCGCGATTCCCTCGCATCACGATCTTCATGCATGTCGAAACGGCCATGGTGCGTCAAGGCAGCCCGACTGCAAGCACCTCATGCAGGCAATACGTCTCGTCATGTATGAGAACCCCCTCCTCTACGGAACTAACCTCGGTTCCGTCCAAAAGGCATTTGTTCAAGCATTTGCATTGAGTAACACTACCGAGAAGCTCTGGAAACCCCATGTAGCAAGGGACATGGGCAACCATAAAAAAAGTAAAAATAATCATCTCCGACATCTATCGAATCTCTTCAGCCACGTGTGGTAACATAGACCCAATGAGAAAGCTGAGGAGTGCGGTCCGATGACAGCCATGGGCCCCAACCACTAACACGGCACCGAGAACCATCCCAATCGAGCAAGTTTGGGCAAAAGGTGTTGATGATGGTGGGGATTTTAACCGGTGCTGCGACAAAACAACTGGCTGATGGGCTTCACTCATGGACATTGTGTGTTTGCTCACCTACGAGGGGCGGGTGCGTGCTCGGCTTGAGGCAACACAGCCCAACAACAAATCCATCTTTCGTCTTTCATACTGTACAATTCAAAGCTTTTGTTCATGTCAATGTTTCTCGTATCAGACGCCCAAAAATACCTCGTTCATCCGGAGAGAGGCGTCTTGAAGACGAGTGCGACATGGTCATCACCAGCTGTGACAACCGCCTCGCCGTCTCCTTGAACAAAAGCCATTATACCACCCCCCTCACCTCCACCCCTGTGTCCCCTCCACTCGCCCACGAGACCCTTGCCAGCCGCGGCTGTTCCACCCCGTGCATCCCAGCGCCTCAAAACACCATCGTATCCCGCGCTCGTCAATAACCATCCTCCTGGTCCTTCCTTGGAAACAAACTCCAGCTTGACAACGGCTTGCGGCGACTCTTCATCTGCGTGCGCATCTTCTATCCGCCTTCGAACTGCAAAGCGATGTGCGGTATCAAAGAGAGTAATGGAACCGTCCACGTTACCGGCAGCCATGAGCGTAAGTGGTGCCGTAGAAAAGCTCAGACATTCAACGTTGTCACTTCCTGCCTGCAAACTAGCCAAGATTTGTCCAGCCTGACCTGATGATGAGGCGCCTCCTTTAGCACCAGCTTGCTTGCCGCCTCCAGCTTTGTTCTTTGCGCCTCCTCCACCAGATGATGTTGATGCTTGTGCCGCTCCAGCGGCAGAAAGACGGGGCAGACCAACAATGCGGATCTGACCTTCTGGACCACCAACAGCTACAAACGCACCTGATGGCGCGATGCCGACAGAGTAGAGACCACCCTCGACGCGGAAGCGCTCGTCGTTGCCTGTGAGACCGACAACGGCTTGCGAGTCGGTTGTCGCAGTCAGACCTTGTGATGCTGCGTCGCCAAACACGTCCCAGACATAAAGACTCGAGTCTTCAGAGATGGTCGCAAGCAATGCGCCATCAGGCGACCATGTACCGCCTGTGCACGACTCGGTGTGAAGATAGTATGCTTGCAGGACCTGTAGCTCGTTGCCCTTGTCTGTGCTGATCTGGTACACCCACACTGAACCATCGTTGGCTCCGAGCGCGACCACATTGGGGTGGTCGGGTGAAGGGTTCGAGATCAGCCAGTTGATTTCCTCCACCTCTTGTGCTTCGGCCAGGAACTTCCATTTCTTGCCGTCAGGCACTCCCTGCCACACGCGTAGCTTGCCATCTAGACCTGCAGTAGCCACAAACTGGCCTTTGGGCGCGGTAAAGGCGATCGCATTGACTGAGTCTGTGTGTCCGTCTAGTGTGAATATGCTCTTCAGTCCTTCGCGCTCGGTGGGTTGGCCGTCGCTGCTCGGTTGCGCTGCCGCCGCTGCCGACACATCAATGATGTAGCCTACATCGTCGCCGCCTCCTGTGGCGATAATGTCGCGGTGTACGGGGTGCTGCGCTATGCAGAAGATGCTGTCCTTGTGCTGGTCAAAATGCGCAACCGAGTCGTTCTGTAGATTGATTTCCATCTCGGCCTCCTGGCGTCCTTCCTCGTCATCGTCGTCCGAGTCCATGGGCACATCGCCGTCATCTTCCAGAATCTCTTCCGCCTCATCGGCGTCTATCGTATTGTCCACGCCGTGTATGTCGATATCCTCCTCGTCGTGCTGGGTCTGGTTGGAAGTGGGGTTGGGGACAGCCATTGCGCAGACTTTTTTTGCTCTCAACCGTTGAAATATGGATTGTGTCTTGCTGCCCTCTCTTTGTATCCTAGAAGATTATATATGAGTCTTCGTCTTGCGTTGCTTAGAAATGCCAAAATTGCGCCTTTGGCGGCGAACTTTTTTGTCGGGGACCCTGTCGGAGGGGCACAACGCCGACCCCACACACGTCATTTGTAATCCACATGAGGCTGAGCCGGACATTGAAACCATTGATGTTTTAATACCGCGTATAACACTACCATCAGATTCATTATAAATCCATACCCTCTTTACGAGTTAACGACATACGTATACGGAAAAAGCCATAGACTTGAAGTAATCTCACCAGCTACTAAGTCTATTCGACAACACATGAGAATGAAAACAGACCTTCTCTTCAGATTGTATCAAAACTACTCTTCACTACCTTGTGCAAGTTTCTCGAGAAGTTGAGCTATACGTTCATCAACTTTGGCAGACTCTTTACGGAGTCTAGCTGCTTCTTGGAGGACTTGCGCAAGCTCTCCTTGAACAGACACATTCTTAGTGTTATTGCTTCCATCTATCTGTTCTTCAGATGATTCTCCGGGTGGTGCTATAGATGTGCTTGCCATGCCGTTCGTGTCAGATGGTACTTCTTGAGAGGAAACATGTTGAGCGGCAGAAGGCTTCCCGCTGGCCACTGCACTTTCCTCATCTTTGTCGCGTAGTCCAAAGAAAGAGCGAAGAGGATCTTCCTCTCCTAGCAACTCTGCTTCGCTGACATAGCTCTGGTCGGCTACAATAACGTTGGATATTGCGTAGACCCAGTAACAAACCACCAAGCCGACCATATACGTAATAAATACTGCTCGACTACTGAATGCCCCTGCAGTCTCATTAAGATCCCGTGTCCAAACAAAGCCAAGATAGATACCTAATCCCACCAGGAAAGCGTTTAGGGAGCTGTTGAGAAGCATGGTAGGGGCTGCAATGGTCAAAACAGAGGCAACCGAAGGTAGATCTGCTCCCACTACTCGAAAGGCTGAGCCGCTGTTAAGATGAGCAGCTGCCAATGTCATGCGTGGGTACAGATCCCCATTCAAAATACTGTGTCCACGAATCCATGCCCGTACATCTTTGGCATAGATAAATCTTCCCAGATGACAGTACTGTCTTGTGGCGTAGTAAACAGCGATGATAGAAGAGACGAGACTGAAAGTAAGGAACCCTCGGGCAAACCAGGGTGTTCGGTCAAGGTTTTCCAAAGAGAGTGCTGTAATAGCAATCTGTGCTAGAATAGTACTCTGAAAGCCTAGTAGTCAGTTCCTGGCGCCTAGCTGTCCGGGTTCCGACACATATACGCACAGCTACAGCTATTATGCTGCATTCCCCCTGCGCTGACTTTCGGAAGTTCATCGCGTCTATGTCGCTCGTACTTCGTAACACCTGTACTTGGACGCGCCAGATGTCGCGGTTACCGAAGAAGCATAATACCAATCCACTTAGTCCATAGTATTTTGTGAAAAAGATAATACTCGAGAAGTAACGAAGCCATTGTCGCGCTGCCGAAAAGAGGATTATGGCTCCTGGACCAACACCAAAGGCAAGTGCTGCATTCTGCATGTTATCGGAAACACAGCAACGAAATTTTATAGGATAAGAATGATTTTCTTAATGAGAGATATCATCGAGAGAGAAAGAGAGATAATCAGAAAAATTCCCTGATGGCTAAAGTAGAGGAAGGCTGGGGCTGAATGTCTGCCTGTATGGTCTGTGCGTTTTTGGGATGCGTACTATGCACGTAAGTAGAAGGCGCAAGCCAGCGGTGCCAGGACTTTTGCCGAGCGTGGAGTACATCGTTTCATGCATAGTGTAGCTAACAAAACACTGAACACGTCAATCGAATGAAAACAAAAAAAATGAAGAAGTTGAATATGCAATGGGGAGAGAGCTACCAATACAAGGCGCGAAGGCATCACCTAGGCCCAATACACAAAGTAATAAGAGGTCATATGTAAAAACACATATACCGGTCCTCAGCTTAGACATGACGATCATAATTTTTGCTTCATGGCAATGATCGCTATATGAACATAGATCACTTCTTTGTACCATTCTATATGGTTTATACGTTCTGTGGTAACAGTATTTCAAAGCCACGCAGTAAGCTCAGTAGGCGAGTAGTCAAATGCTAGACAAGACACGTCACTCAAAGAGACTAGATTGAGCATGACCATAATCCAACTATCACTCCAATAGAACCGTCATTCTAGCCAGCTAAGCTTAAACTCTTTCTGGGAGAAGAGCTCCTACTTAGATACCTACCTAGTACTTATCTCCAAACACTTTAAAATAAAGCATCACTACAACCAAAGACCCTTACCTTATTAACGATAATCTTCTAAAATACCATTCCGGCCCCTCTGCGACATAGCTTAGTAATCGTTTATATCTATGCACACTAGCGTGACCTGCGATAGTCAAAGAAGGACCTTCCTAACATCTCAACATAATCCTGATCACCAAGAGTAGGCGTTTTTCTCGAGCTATTAATGTCGTATTTCCAATGCCCCCCCCCCCCCCCAAAAAAAAATAGCACTAGGCACAATTGTAATATATTAGCAAATGTATCAATTTGCATCTCATTTCTGTATTTACACCTCCACCCAACTTCTCCATTTCCATAAATACATTTCCACGTTGCACATTACACAGAATACCACCTGTATACTCTATCCACTACCCAAACCACAGCAACCCCTTCCTTACGAAGCCCCAATCCCTTTGCCCACAGGACAATTAGGCACATCCTTCTGCCACGCAATCTTCGCGTACGCAGGTAAATAGCTATTCGTCGTGAACGTCTCATCGATATAATACTCGACCTGGTCCAGCGAGAACTTGCCACCGACTTGCGGCTGATTGAGAGCATTGACAATGTAATCAGCTATGAAATCCAGGAAAACGAGATCGACGTTCTGTGGCATGGAGCCGTCGAGCGGGAAAGAGGCGTTGGCTTGGAGATCGTTGGGCTGAGGGTAGTTGGGGATGGGTGAGTGCACGGTGTCGTCTCCATCGGTGCCGAAATCGTCGTGGGTGGTGTACCCGGGTGTGGGTGAAGCAGATTGGCGACGGATTAGCCGACCGCCTTGCTTGGAGCGACGCGTACGTCCCTCGTAGTTGTGTGTGAGGGGCGGGTCGATGCATGTATCGCGGTCTGCAAGGACGGGACTGAAACTAAAATCGGATGTCTCAAGGTTTCGCTTCTTCTTTTGAAAGGGACCAGCATTGAGGATATCGATAACCTGCGATGCCTGTTTGTAGGGCACATTTGGAATGTATTGGAAAGCATCTTTGAATGGGGAAACGATGAAGGAGTCGTCGTACGTGAAGGGGCCTTGAGCGAGGTCGAAGCGGACGCTACCGGTATTAATTATGATAAATCGAGGGATATGTTTTCGTGTCTTGTTCACAACGGCCGTAGCTAGCGCGGTTTGGAGAAGCTTGAAGATGTTGCCTTCAGCCAAAAACGGCTTACAGTACTGACAGTATGTTTCCGGTGCGCAACCGTAAAGATTGGTCAGATTGAGCTTAGTTCGAGCGGAAGTGATTTCTGATGAGACTTTGAGGCCTTCAGGAGTGCTGAATGAAGTGTACGGCTGGCTTCCCTCGGCATGGTATGCAAAAGTGTTCCGGTTCCAATCAAGGTACCTCCGTGCATAGCGGACTGGAGTTTTGAAAGTAGACTTGTCAATGGTGACCTGCGACAATGCTACGCGAGATGGGTTTGGTACACCTTTGGGGTTGTTTGGTGCTTTGCAAGTGGACGATTTGATACTAGACATTGCAAGCCACCCTAGAGTCTCGCAGTAACGGCCTAAGTGATTTGTTAGTGAATAGTCAATGAAATTGGGTATTACTTACCAGACTCAATGCCAGTAGCCTTCTCGTCATAGACTATAAAGTCGCGAATGTGAGTGTGGCCTCCAAAGAATTGAATTGGCACATCTTTCTTGATACTTCGAATGGCCTTGAACACAGTCCCCATAGTGCTACTGGAGACGTTGGTTCGTACAGGGTTGTGACCAGCGACAACAAACAGATCAATTGGCTTGGTGAAGTTAACAGCTTGCTGGAACCATTTCTCTTTGACCATATCCTTAGCTTTAATGACCCTGGAAACATTGCTGTTGCCAGTAAAGTCAAAAAGAACGCCAAAAGCCATGATGCGAAGACCTGTAAATAGTCAGCACATTCCTCAAACTCGTATTAATTTTGGCATACCCTGTTCAGTAGTGAAATAACGATATTGAGCCCCGATGTACTCAAACTGACCGGTGGCTGGGTTGACGATTTGAACATTGCTAGTAAGATATCTGTCACCATATGCTTTTGCAAAGCCGCTGAAAGTCTCGTAGGCAATCTCAGTGACGTAAAGCTCGTGATTGCCGATAGTCAATATATCATAGTCGACATTTTCAAAGATCACATTCGAGACCTTGCCGTTGGGTGTCGTCGCATCGCTAAGCCCGGCGCCATCGTGCAAGTCCTGCTCCAGCGTTAGCAAGATTACATTTTGCTCCACGTACATGCAGCCCTACTCGTCCCCAGGGCCTTGATATCAGACACTAACCCCTGTGTCAACTAGAAGCAGGTCAACGCCAAGTTTGCGAGCTTTCTGCCTCATATGTTTTGTGAAGCTGACGTAGTCGCCCCAGTCGGCGCCGTAGTTTTGTTCCTTGATATGCCCCTCAAGCCAGCCATGAGTGTCGGTGGTATGTAGGAAGTTGATCTGGCCCCACTCCAGAGGGCCTCTTGGAGTCGTGGTCGCATTTTGTGCGTCGGGTTGCATTCGGCGGACATTCCTCGTCAGAACGACATCATCTGTTAGCGCTCCATAGCAACTGTGGTCACCTTCGCAAGCCGAAGCTGAGGCGATGAGTGCTACAATCGCACTGTATGTAAGGTATCGCATTTTCAGAGGCACTTGGGATACCAGTATCGGATGTCAGGTAGCAAGGACGGCCTATTATACATACGTTCCGGGAGGTGATGGAAGCGTATACAGACCGAGCCAGTGGCGCGCCGTGTTCCGCGCCGAATGAAAGGACAACATCAGACTGCACGTGTGGCTACTATTGGTGAAAGAGATAAGCTTTCGACAAGTCCTTGATGCCGAGGATCAAAAAAGCTTAAACCCGGACATTCTCCTTCCTGATGGGCGACAAGCGCGTCAATTAGCGTTCCGGGAATCGGTCTTTCTTTTGCGCCTCTCCGACTGATGCCCGGAACCTTTTCTGTATTGCGGTAGTGCTTTTGCCACAACCAAGGGCTTCTCCTGTCATTGTGCATTTATTAACGCAGAGGCTTTCGATACTTTCCACCAGAGCTCCCAACTACTAGGCGGCACATACTGAGTATATGATAGCCAAACGCCATATGTGATAAGGATATTCCAGCCTAATCAACTACAGGTGTTGTAGTTCAGCAAGTAGTATTGGTATGATCCGTGCCGTCCCTTGATAAAGCCAGGTACCGGTCTGCGGACGGACCAAACAATCAACAAGTACAGAGCACAAAACTTTACGAGAAGATTGATCTTATCCGTCAGATTACTCTACAATTTTTTCTGATTTTCTATTTTACAACCTAGCCTTGACCCCGTCTCTAACAACAAGGCCAAACTTGCCATCCTTTTCCTTGTCGCGCAACACTCTTCTCAAAATCTTGCCTGAAGGACTCTTCGGTATCTCGTTAATAAACTCAACCTCCTTGACCCACTTGTATCTAACCTTCTTCTCCTTGACGAAAGCGATGATTTCTTTACCGACTGCGGTACTCTCTTGGACACCCAGTTTGAGCACTACATACGCTTTTGGTAGCTCTCCAGAGTAGTCGTCTTTTATGCTCATGACAGCAACGTCCTCGACTTTAGGGTGGCCAAGAAGTAAATCTTCAAGCTCGGCTGGAGCAACACCGATACCCTTGACTTTGATGAGTTCTTTGATGCGGTCGGAAATGTAAATCATGCCTTCCTCGCTGATGGATCCGCGGTCACCCGTGTGCAAGAAGCCGTCTGCATCAAATGTTTCCCGGGTAGCTTTTTCGTTGTTGAGGTATCCCATCACTACCTGGGGTCCACGAGCCAGCACTTCACCATCCTCGCCAATATCTCCCTCTGTGCCATCGTCCTTGATGATTTTGACCTCGGTAGAAGCAACTATAGCGCCTCCAGAGTGGGCGTACTTGTAATCATACTTATCGGGCGGATGAGCAGTAATGCAAGAGCATGATTCAGTCATTCCATAGCCTTGCTTGAAGCCCGTGTGTGGGAATTTCTTCTGCAACTGGTGGATGATTTCTTCAGAAAGTGGAGCGGCGCCGGAAGAAAAGCGAACAACGTGGCTGAGGTCGTACTTATCTACCAGCGGGTCGCGAACTAGTCGGATAATGATTGGAGGCACCAGTAAAAGCTCCTTCAGCTGGTATTCGACAACGACGTCTAGCATTTTCTCCATTGAAAACTGCGGAAGCATGACAACTTCCGCGTTGATGAGAATTGGGAGGTGCATCTGATGAACCAAGCCTGTAATGTGGAAGAGCGGAAGTACAGCCATGACCTTCTTATGCGTTTCCGGCGTTAACTGCTGGGCTTGCAGACACTGCGCTATAACGTTCTGGTGACTGATCATGACGGCTTTTGGCAGTCCAGTTGTTCCAGATGAGAATGAAAGAAAGCCACAAACATCTTTATTTTTCTTCCCAGGAGGGATTTTGAAAGCAGCTGTCTGCCCAGACTCACCATAAGATTTTCCCATGCGGATCAAATCCTGGATCGTGGTGTAACCAGGTAGCTCGCCCTCAAGCAGGAATATGTTTGATTGAGGTATTCCTGCAGCCTTTGCGCTTGCGGATGCAATTTCCATACTTCCGGATGTAGTCATCAAGAACTTTGCATCCGCCGTCTTGAGTGCAAACGTCATCTCCTCAACGTTGTATGCTGGGCTTGCACCGTTGATCTTCGCACCCACACGGAGCCCGGCAAACATCGCTACCGGATACCATATTGTATTCTGACTGAAAAGAGCCACCGTATCGCCTTCTTTGAGATTGTACTCTTTGACTAAAGATGTAGAGATGTATGTAGAGTACCTCTTTACATCAGCCCAGTTCACACGTTCTTTCGTGATGGCGTTTTGGAAGCCTGCAAGCTCGCTTGGTGGATAATTGTTGATTGGGGAGTAAGTTGAATCAAAGAGCCAATCCCAGTCCGTCAAGTTGGTAGGCCCTGTGTTCGTTACTCGATGCATCCTTTTCCAAACGCAAACAGTCGGGGGTTACATACAATCGATAGGTGGTTGTTTTGATTTGAATATTACCATGTTGATCCAATCAGTACCTTGAAAGTTAAAGAAGACAATATCTTATTCAAGACCCGTGTATGTGAAGCCAAAGTAGAAGTGATGCAGTCCGATAATGAACGGTGGTAAGCAACGAGTGTAATAGAGGAATAAGGATTCTTAGAGCGGAAGAATTCATAGAAGCTAGCAGAGAGATGGGGATCGCCATCCTCGGTACATCTATCTCCATCGGATATGCAGCCTCTCAATGCGATGGCGGAGCGGGGACAAAGGCCTCTCTGTAAGGCGGGGTTGGACACACTACCCGAGTCATCTAAAAGCGGTTAAGATCTCCACACCACTGATACCTTCGCAGATAACACCTACATACGCAGGGGTACATACGTATGAAATACTTCACTGCCACCCAATGAGCCTTTTGGGAGGGTTGTCTTTTGTTTTCACAAAAGATATACTGTGTTGACTCTATCGATTAAAGCTATTCCCCCCACGATCAAAAGGCCCCCGCATCCCAGTACTACTGTAATCATCAACCACACCACCATGTCCGAGGAGTCAGAAGCACCACCTGAACACGACTCCGTCCTAAGAGTACACTCCAGCAAAGACCTCCGCATAACCCTCATAGGCGCCGGAACAATCGGTCTCTCATTCGCCGCATACCACCTCACCTACCTCCTCAGCCCCTCCCAACTCACAATCTACGACACGCGCCCAGACCTCGACCAGCACATTGTCCAAAACCTGAGCGAGTTCTTCGCCGACGCACCCGCAAAAGCAGCAATAGACAACATCCGCATCGCGACCTCGCTCGCCGACGCCGTCGCTGAAGCGCACATCATCCAAGAATCCGGACCGGAGAACCTCGCTTTCAAGCGCCAGCTTTGGGCCCAAGTAGAGCAACATGCGCCGGAACACTGTTTGCTGTGGAGTAGTACGTCTGGGATCCCGGCGTCGGCGCAGGCACAGGATATGAAGGATAAGTCGAGGTTGCTAGTCGTGCATCCGTACAACCCGCCGCATGTGATGCCGTTGTTGGAACTAGTTGCGTCGCCGCAGACGTCCGAGGACGTTATCAAGAGGACACAGCAGTTTTGGGTGGATCGTGGGAGAGTACCGGTGCATATAAAGAAAGAAACGACGGGGTTTGTGGCGAATAGATTGGCGTTTGCACTGCTGCGGGAAGCTGTGCATTTGGTCAATGAGAATGTGGTTTCTGTGGAGGAGCTGGATAGTATTGTGGAGAGTAGCATGGGCCCGCGGTGGGTGGTTGCGGGGCCTTTTAAGAGTTATCATGCTGGAGGTGGGCCAGCGGGGTTAGAGGGCTTTTTTAAAAATATTGGAGGGACGGTGCAAGCCTGTTGGGACGATTCAGGGAAGCCGAATGTTGGTGATGGGTGGGAGGAGAAAATCTTCAAGCAAGCACAGGAGACATATGGTCAGGTCGATGTTAGTGAGCGAGACAGAATAACAAGAAGGGTGTTAGGAGTGCTGAAAGAAGAGAAGAATCGGAGCGCTTGAAATCATGGGAACTAGTGAATGAATTTCCTCGTCTAGATATCGTTTCACACCACCAAGACCTCTACACAACCTACGCGCCAAAAACCAGTTGTATCGCTTTACATGATAAGGTACAACCCCATAATCAAACTAGGCCCAATAAAAATACCGAACCAAAATATCACGTTACCCAGCGTGTCTCTTCCCTTCATAAACCTACTCTTGCAAAACGCCGCCTGGGGTATCTGGGTAAGTTGGAATGCAAAAAGGTATCCCCTGACCTTCTTAAAGAGACAAAACATGACGACCTCGTGGACGACGGCACTCAGGAAAAAGGTAAAGAAGGTGGCCTGCATCCTCGACATGTGAAAGAAGGAAATTGAAGAATGATAGACGTGTCGAAGCAAGAAGTTGTGGACAGGCCTATTCCAGTCGCGAGCATACTGGTCAAAGGAGATGGAATTCCACCATGGGCCATAAAAGCCCCGGTCGGCAAACCGCGTGAGTTCCGCTAGTACATTGAGGAGACATTCCCAGATGACGTAAAAACTCAGGAGTGATTGGAGAAGCATGGGGAATACCATATCGGAGACTGGTGGAGATGACGTTAGCAGATAACGTCAAGTATGAAGTAAAGGTTACTTACCAATCCATGGAAATTCTTTCCACCCTTGATCGAGTGACATGCCAGCTTCCTTCCTTCGTACAGTTTCTACAACAACAGGGTAGATGTACGCTTGTGAGATGATGATCATGACCCAAATGCCACCCAGTGTAGCTGCCGACTTCTCAGCAACGTACCACCAGTTGATACGATCCTGGCGGGGATACTCCAAGTCGTAAACGAGCGTAGGGAAACATGACCATTCCAAGAAATTGTAGAACTTTAGGTTGTTAGGGTAAATGTTGTCCGTTGTCGTGCATTTTCCACGTAGGTCCTCGTTGAGGATTGTAATCTCGGTGTTCAACACGCGGCGGAACCCCTCAATCTGTTCCGAGTCGAGTGGCTTTCCAGAGTCAATAGCTTGACCAATACCTGCGATTTCCAACTCTTCATCAGACAATTGTGGAGAGTATTTGCGCCCTCGGCGGGTCAGATCACCTTCATTGGGGGTTCCAACGTTGGTAGCAGTTGACATCTCTGGAAGATGCGTCGTTTCAGTTGAGCCTTCTTGCGATTTCATAGCGTCCAGCTCTCGAAGCATATCCTGCAAGATATTCCGTCGTCTGTAAACTCGCGATACTGCCCATAATCAGCTCGGCCCTCCGTATCACAGGAAGGAGACTTACAATAACCGTTGTAGAAGGCATAGGCATGTTGCTTCATCAACAACACAAAGACATGCAGAACAATGAAGACGGTATGGGTCCAAGGCCACTCACGCCAGAAGGTGATCCATATGAAAGTAAAAGTAAAGAAGGCTTGCCACAGCGACTGGACAATCCACCCTGAGCCGTTCCACGTCAAATAGTCTTTTGCAATGGCTTTCTGTAGGAAGAAGCCAAAGACAGTCGTTGCGCACATTCCAAGGTCTGTTGCCAGCATGACGAAAAGCTCCTTGTCGACCATTAGATGCAGGATCTCTGCATTCCCAAAAATAGAGCCTGTGGTTCGGTAGTTGCCGGCTGCGATTCGTATGAGCAATATGGCCATGGCGAGCCAGAAAAGAGTGAAGAACCCACGAAAGGGCGACTGTGAAGCGGTTACATTTTGGCGATCGAACGTTGTGAATTGCTGGGTGAAGATAAGATCTCTTGGCCGGCCCTTATTCTTACGGTTCAGCTTCTCAGCCTCTCGTCGGAGCCCAGTCTGTAAAACTTCTTGAAACTCGGGATCTTTGGCGGTGAATTTATACTCGCCTTTCTTTCCGGACTTCTCTAGTACGACTTCGATGCTCTTTCGGCGATTGCGTTGCCTTTCCTCCACATGGGTTTCCGAGCCGCTGTCATCCGAAGGTATAGCGGTCGTGCTACGGCTTCGAGATTCTATCCCATGGTCTTCTTCATTCTGCTTCTTTGATCTGAGCACACCATCGACATCCAAGGCCCTAGATGAAGTGTTTGGGTTCCACGAATCTTCGCGGTTGATGGGTGGTCGCGTTGAGAGGCCTCGGAGTGCGTGGGACATTGCTGATGCCCCATTCGTCAGAGATGTTAGATCAGTCTTATCGCTTGTTAAATCAGGCGTGCGACTGCTCTCCATCGCTCACCAGGCTGTTGGAAAGAAACGTGATGGATTCACCAAAGTGAACGTGTTGGAGTGTCGTGTTGAGGTATAAGTTGCTGGCCGCTGGAGGAGAACGGTACCGTGGGCACATGTTTCCTTGGGACGGGACTGTCGGAACGGATGTTTCGCAAGCTCGGTCCAGATGAGGCAGTCAAGTCAGACGGCACTTGGATCCAGTAAGCACACAAGAGTATATATCCCAGTAACTGTCCGGATGTACCGAAGTATAAAGTACACGGTCGTGTCCGAATGGGGCTTCACCCAAAACGGACATGATGTCATGCCGCGCCTTGTAGTAGAGCAGTACTAGCGGTGCATGTGCATCGGTTCCTGCAGCAAGCCAAGTCACGTGTTCTACTACAAACTAATCCAACACGAGGCTGAAGCGTGACCATCTACATGCATACTCGAATCACTTGGTATTTCAATTTTCCAGACAACCTTGCTCCACCTTTAATGGCTGCTGACCACGACACAGCCCCCCCCGCACAGCCTCGTTTTGTTGTCGACCGGAGCCGAGTACATATGGCGTCCTGGGCATTCTGAACTCCAACATCTAACACATCAACTTTCCTGCTTGACTGCAAAGTCAACATCACTTCAATAACCTATTCTTTTACAGTAGAAAGTATGATTGCGCCATTATTTGCACTCCCACTGACTGTAGCGATGCCATATGAAGGTGTCTCTTAGTCTCGCTGCTGCTGCTGCTGTTGATGCCTCGACACCTCGCTTCTACCATTGAATACCTGTTTAATAAGGCAACCAACATGGATCCTATTTACATTCCTTGGCACGAATTCTCAAATCGTGATTCGTTCGAGCACAGGAAGATACGAAGTGGCTGCCGTCAAGCCGCAGCATCGCAGTGTCGCAGCGTCACAGCGCAGCAGCGCATATAAGCCACAGCATAGATCATATGGCGAATCCGTTCAATGAAAATTAGTTTATAAAGCAAACCGTTGTGCCTATTTTATACGGACTACATCACCTAGCGGATTGACACTTGCTCAGCCGTTCCCTCTGCACTCCTGAAATCCCATTATTTTCGGCGGCTCAGTTCGTCTTTCTCTCAGTGAAAACCTAATACAGCGCACACAACTTCCTCATGGCACCAACAAGTAACAGTCCCAACCTCTCAAAAAGGCTGTTCTGCCCCAACGCATTCCCAAGCTATGACATCCAACTCTATCTCGCCTACTACATCGTCTTCCTCATCATCTTCCTCGCAATCTTCATCACCTCCTTCTTCGTCCGCAAAAGGAGCGGTGGCTCAGGGAAATCGCTAATCGGATTTGCCTACATACTTACATTGCTCCTTGAAATTGCGTAAGCCCCCCTTTTCTCAGTATTATATCTTCTACATATACGGAAGGCTAATCAGAAGAAAAAAAAACACAGTTCCCTAGCCTTGGACTTCACAGCCCTCCTCCGAGCCCAATGTCAAACTGGCAGTCTTCAGGAAGTCCGCGACATGTCGCTCGCTTCCACCATCATGAGCTTCTTCAGCATATGGGGCATGCTGGTCCTCGTCGTCTACCAAGTAAACATCTTACTCCGCAAGCAACTCGGCTCAGCAGTTGGGGTGTTTAGAACTATCTGCCTGGTGGCCGTAGGCGCCATGGGCTTTATCTACATCGCTTACATCAGTATATTCAGCTTTCTCTGGATCTCGAGGGCGAGTATATGGAGGGATGAACGATGGAGGCTTCAGCTAGTGTCGCAGCGGCTGTCGCTGGCGGTGAGAGCGCTATATGTGCTTTGTGTTATTATGTCGGTGATACTGGCGACGAGGACGCTGTCTGGGCTGCGGAGAGCGCAGTTGGCTGCTGGTGTAAGTCATATACTTCCATTCCAACCCCCCTCCCTCCTTACCGCGCTTTACTAATGGTGCTTGCTCAGGACCTCATCGGCTGGGTCGCCGCTCTCCACATCTTCATGTTCATCTGGTCCGGCTTATCTATAGTGCTACAGGCACTGAGCCTTTACACCGAAACCTTGGATCTTAAAACATCGATAGCCCTGTCGTATGTTCTGGCAGTGTTCCAAGCGCTTAGCTTCGTTGCGCTATTGGGGATCGCGAAGCATACGTGCTGGAAACAGGGCCGTAAGCCGGCGCAGCATGTTTATGCGCCGGTTATGGAGGGGCATACGGCGTATGTGCATTGAGAGCAGGTGTATCGTCAGGAGATGCGTGTGATTGCGCGTGCTACTGAGTAAGCGAGATGATCAAGAGGAGGTATGGAACTAGACTTTTTTCTTTACGTTGTTATGCATAAGCTATACCCAGATCATGACCTCCATTATTATGGAATAATGTTTTTTTTAAATGAAACCATCCACAGTTCATCGTGCATATCCCGTATGCTACACTACATCAGTCTAATCACGCAAACATATCTAGAGTGAAATATGAATTTTTCATAAGATCTAGTATAGCTTACATTGCCAGCTGTGAGAAATGCGAGAGACGTAAACAACGCAGAGTAGATTTAATATATACTTTTTAGTATACTCCACTAGCATGTACAATGTCGTCATTCGAGATTTTAACCCCCCCTGAAAAAGCCTGCACCTAGCCCTTAGTCCACCTTGATAGATCTATAAATCTTGAGTGTGAATAACCAGCTGGCAAAGAAGCCGATTGTGCCTGTTCGTCAAGTTAGCTTCTTCTACTTTTTCAAATCGGGTTGCAAAATGTACTTACCAGTGAGAATGAATACTAGCGCACTAAGCAAGGCTGAGTATCCAAGGTACACCACACCACTCGTCCAGCTCGTCCAACTAACGTCCTTGATCCAGTAGAGCAAACAACTGGCAAACACATACACGGCGCTCGCACCAGCGGTGAAGAACGACCGCCATTGCCAGTGATAATTCTCCGCGCAGAGCAAAAAGTAAATCATCAAGACGGTAACAGCAGCAGACGTGATAATCATGAGCCCAAAGCAGAGGAAGAGGAAACCAAACATGTAGTAGACTTTTGAGAACCAGATCGAGTTCATGATGAAGTAGAGTTCGACGAAAATAGCGCCAAAGGGAAGTACGCCAGCCAGCGCCATGGATGGAATAGGTCGCAGGTAGCCTCCAGCCGGGGGGATTTGACGGGGGATCTGGTTGGTGCGAACAGGTGGTTCGATGGTAGCTTGCTTGAAGCCAAACCAAGAACCTGCCAGACTGAGTGGGACCGAGATGACAAACCAGATAATGACAACGACTAGCATTGTCGTGAAGGGCACTGCTCCTGATGCCCCACGGCCCCAGACAAACAGGTTCATGAGGAAGAAGACGCTGAAGACGATTGCTGGGAGAGCGACTGGGGTATAGAAGAAGCAGAGTTTCCAGGACTCTCCTTGGAAGAATTTGTAGACGCGCGCAGCAGCGTAGCCGCCAAAGAAACCGAAGAGTGTGTAGAAGATGATGATGACGGTTCCGAGGGCACCGCGGTTGCTAGGGGAAAGGAAGCCGAGCAGTGCAAACACTATTATACATGTTAGCAAGAGGCGCTCATATCGAGCCTAGGTGTACTTACCTATGGTTAGCGCCGTCATGGCAAAGAGCTGGGCGCCGTTGCCGATCAAGACTGAAAGAAGCAGCGGATTCTTTGGCGGCCTGAATACATCGCCATGGACCAGCTTCCAGCCCGAATCATCAGCGGTATCATCAGCATCTCCCGTTTCGCCAAAGTCTTCGAGCGCAAACTGATCCAAGCGGTTGTATCGCGCAATATCCTTCTTCAGAGTACGGACAAGGATCGTGCTGACCATGCCAACGAGGAACACAACGATCACAGCCGAATTGATGAGGGAGAACCAGTGGATCTTGGGGTCGTAGACATGGAGATATTTGTCCCACCGAGTAGCAAAGGGAGTCGGGCTGCTCCTCCAGTATACGCCATACGTAAAAACGACCATGTTCTCGTCGTCATCTTTGTCCTTCAAAACCACTGGTGTCTGTCCATTGCAAGTAGCCTGAGCATCACCCTGTCTCTTCGATTCGGCCATTGAGTATGGGTCGACCAACACGCCTACTACTCGGAAGTTGCCTGGCGAGGCCTCGTGGTAGTCAATGACGATGTCGTAGTGGTTGTTGAGCATGGGCTTCTCCTCATCCACTAGGCCCAATGCAAAGCCAGGCTGGTAGAAGATCTGATCCGAGCCAGGCTCTCGCAATGACTGCGCCGCTGGCAATCCGTCTATTAACCAATTGAGATCATAGCCCTGGTATATTCTGTCATTCACGAATGCCGCATCTTTGCCTGGATACGGAGCCTCGCAAAGAAATTTGCAAGTCTCATTGACAGCCATCTTCAGCTCAAAAGGGCTTGTTTGTATACGGTCGCCGAACAGTATACTCCCCAAACTCTCGCGGATTTCCTTTGGTCCATCTTTTTCGCGACAAAAATGGAAGGGAGGGTAGTAGTAGTCGAACGAGAAGACGGATCGTATTTTCGGATCGTTTTGCGAGTCGGCTGGTGTGAGGCGATTGACGTACAATGGTACGGCGTCTCCGGTCTTGTAGGTTGTTGGCGCGGTGCCTGGAAAGTAAAAGGCCGATGCAGGCGATGGCGCTATGGCTAGCAATGACACCAGCAAAGCGCCAGAGGAGGATACATCAGAGCCCCGCATCTTGTGTGTTTTGTCGTCAGCGCAGCGGAGGAGCGCGACAATTTATTGTGAATGTTGTGGAGTGGGCCGATATCCGGCTGAGAAGCTGGGCGGGATGCCGATACGTAGCGTTTACAATGGTGTTGGCGCCGACAGTCGATACGAAGGGATTCGGGTTACGTGGGGGGGGGGGTCTAGATACATGGGCTGTCCATAACAGGCAGGCGACAGAAATGTAGCGAGGTTGAGAGTAATGGCAATGTGGTGTTTTCTGAAGCTACACAAACCGTCCCTTGCTAAACGGTTACGTGAGAGCGACCTAGGGAAGCTACGCGTATGCCAAGCCTTAAGCCACCGTTTCAGTATACAGGGGTCTCGACTGAATTAGAATACATCCATGTTCGCCTTCACAAGTTACCCTACAAACGCTCGACAGTCCCAACATGCACGTCTGACAATAGCAAAAGCAGGGCGCACAAATGCCAGGGCCTTGGAAACCCATTGTTGCATTCTAACTCAAGCAACCAAATTGTATGAGCTGTTTATACGTACATCAATCATCATGTCCCAGTACGCCGAGGCGAAGTCAACGTTTTCCACCCCCTGGCAGCAAGGGCACGATGGCACGCCCGAATCCCGCAAATGCGCTGTGATATCGACTATAACGAAACAAGAATAGGAAACGACCTTGGGTATAACCCTCCTCTTCAAACAAGACCATCGTAGAGAGACAAGGCCGAAACAATGGTCTCGTCACGCTTGGAACCCTCCTTGAATTCAGCCATGTCTAAGCTACCATTCTCGTCCTTGTCCATCATTCGGAAAATCTTCTTGACGCGCTTCTCGGGTGTGTCTTCGTCTTCGGGGAGCTTGACCATGGAGCCAACCTGCATGCGTTAGAGACGAGTCTATCCTGGCACCAATGTGTACGTACCATTTTGTAGATGGCCTCTACAATGGCCAGCATCTCCTCGTAGCTTATCTTGCCGTCGCCATCAATGTCGTACAGCTGGAACGCCCAATCCAGCTTGTCCTCCATCTTGCCACGGCTGGTGACACTCAGTGCGCAGATGAATTCTTTGAAGTCGATTGTGCCTGACTTGTCTGCATCAAAAACGTTGAAGACATAGTCTGCAAACGACGACGGATCGCCGAACGGGAAGAATTGCTTGTAGATCTTCTGGAACTCTTCCTTGGTGAGCATACCCGACGGGCAGTCCTTTAGGAAGCCTAGATATGCATACTCAGCCACAAGCCGCTTACTTCAATCGACTCTATGCGCACCTTTGTACCATTGCTGTAGTTCTTTCTTGTCGAAGTGTGTTGCTTTCTGCAGATCGGCCAGCTCCTGCTGGGACAGTTTACTCTGGCTGTAGTATCGCACAATCAGCAACTGATTCTGAATCTCGAGGCACGCTATGTGGCAGCACAGCCCCAGGCCCTCGTCGAACTCGCGCACAGCATTCGCTAAGGCAACTCTCTGCACGTCCCTGTAGTGCGCATGTCCAGCCTCGCCCAGGTGGGGTGGGTGAAGGTGATGGCGGCGCGCAAACTTGAGGGGCGGATGACGGTGCCCAAGAAAGGGTGTCGCGAATTCCTGCGAAGGGATTGAGGGCGCAGACGGTGCTCGCGCATGCTTGTCGCTACGGTTGTAGATATCGAGTCGCGGTTGCATGCTCGCGCGGACTGGGGCCAGGAGCGGGGTTCAGACGTGGATACTTTGAATTTGGACGAGAAGCCATGGCGAGATCGGGAGCAGCGTGCAGCCTTGGCCTGGAGCAGCGTGTATGGGGGACAGAGGGCAGGAGTCGTCTGACGTCGAGGTGGGAGGCGCCGAGGCCCCGCCTTACAGAAGCAGCAAGGGAAAGAAAAGCCAAACTTACGATTTACCCATGGCTGGACGAGGGTTGGATTACCGTGAGCGGAGATTTCTTAGGAACGGGCGGGGATATGTATGTAGGGGAGAGGCGGCTAGGCAGTGGTAAAAGTGTTGGTAGGCGGAGCAGGACCAAAGTATGGTATGTGATGGTAGTGGTGGACCAATAGATAGCGGGGCTGGGGCAATGGCTCTGCAGGCAAGGGGCGCAGCGCTCTTGTCTAGGGCTGGGTAGGTATAGGGACAGGCAACGGTGAAGGGCGACGTGACGAGCAGCAGACGACTAGGTCGGGACGGGTAAGGCAGCGGGCGGAGGGTGGAGGGAGGCAGAGGCACAAGATATGCATACATAATATGACGCGGGATGGCAGCGGAGATTCGTCTCCGAGCGGACAAGCAGCGCGGGTCCAGACAGTGAACGGGGGACTGCCGGGGGCCCTTGTGGGCAGCGTCGTCGTCATGTCCCGCACTCGCATGCACATGTGCGTGTGCTTGTCCCGGGCCTGGCAGAGCGCCTGTGCAGCATGCATAGGAGCAGTAGTGTGTATCCATATCCACATCCGAGGCTGTCCATGATGCTGTCAGTCAGGTTTGGGCTGCTTAGGGCCGGCCATTCAGCTCTACGCACTACGCACCAGGCGCGCGACCTGTGCCTGCATCCCAGATCCATCCCAGCCCTATGACCCCATCCCCTCCTCTGCCACCTGCACCAAGCCTGCGCATCATCCGCGCCTGTCCCGTCACGTGCCTGCGCGTGGTCCCTTCTCAGCGCCTAGCGAGCGCGCCAGCCACTGCTCTGCTGCGTGAACTGGTCAAGGTGTGAACATCCGTCTCACCCCCCACCCCCACCAGCCATGGACGACGTTCTCAATGAGCAGTTTGGCCGGGTCGAGAGGGCCCTGACCACCCTGGTTGACTCAATCGCCGCCTACAACCCAGCTACTCAAGCCGCAATCGACCTCGTGGCCGCTGACGACCAGCTGAGTGACGGCCTCGACCAGCGTGCGCATACACACCCTGCCCCGCGCTTCCCACTGGCGCTGCTCGCTGACACGTTGTAGTCGCCAGACACCAAGCAAATCATGGCCGCATCCAGGCCCTGCGTGCAGAGGCAGATGCTCTAGAAGCCCAGCTTAGAGACTCGGTCAGGAAGCTTGCAGAACTACGCCGCGAGCTGTTCAACACACCCGCCACAACATTCCCCCCGGAATCGCGTGCTGTGCCATTTGACGAGCTCCTACAGTACGCCACCAACATCTCGAGGTACACTGTGCCCCCGACATATCGCGAGCGTGTCCCTACCACCGACAAGGACGACGACGATGTGGGCTCGAGCGGTGCGCCCACTAATGGCATGAACACGCCCGCCATCGTGCCAGACGCCGTAGACCTACCCAATGATAGCTCCGAGGCACAGAAGGCTGGCGAAGACGCAGATGGAGCTGTGCCCGACATCACTGCCGAAGAGGAAGAGTGGCTCAGAAAACTGAAAGCCAGCAATCTGGCATGGTACCCCTGGCCAAGCACCGACAAGATTCGCAATGGTATTCTCTATCGTCTCTCGTACTGGCGCGAGAAGGGCAACGACCTGGACCAGTTCGACATACCAGCGTATCTAGAAGAGCAAAGAAAGAAGGCTCTGGGTAATGAGGCGAGTCTGGAAGAGACTCCAGCGGAACCAACAGAGGAACAACCACATCGGGAAGCTGCAAGGCCAACAAGGCCGCTTAGTGCCTTTACCGGTCTTGATGACATGGACGAAATGTAAATAGCTTAGCCCTGAAGGCTAGAGACTTGCAATACACAAAACTCTCACCCAGTCATTTCCAAGTATCCTATGCTGCTTCTCACGTGTAATTGACAACTTTTTCGTGACTTGACAGTAGCGTGTCAGTGATGTGAACTCGGAAAATTTCAAGGCCAATGACATTACTGGAAATTGGAAAAAAAAGCTTCTTCGTTTTGCAGGATAGATATTTTGCGTGAGTTGTCTTACTAGCATGTATGTAATCCTGCGCATTGTCGTGCAGGCATCAGTAGCCTTTACACTCAGGACCTAGCAAGATGCACCCTGTAGTTTTAGTCCAAATGCAGTTAGTACCTAAATTTTCGGGGAAACCGTGCTCAACTTTTCTCCAACTTCGCAACGCGACATGAACTTCAGCTCACGCACTAACAATTAACAATAAAAAATGGGCAGCAAGACGCGAAAGAGGGAGCGCGATGCAGATCAAGTTGAAAAGGTGGACGAGGCGCCCACAAAACGGCGCAGACAGAGCATTGATGATCAGGTAAAGCTCTCGAAGCTGTATGTGGATCTGGCCGCAGAGGAAGATGACGTTCGCTTTGAAGCCGCCAAACAAATTATTGTCAGATTCGCTCCTGAGAACAAACCCGCCGCAAAGGACGTTGAGGATGCCCTAGTTCGCCTAATAAAAGGCTTATGCAGTCAACGTAAAGCAGCCAGGGTTGGATTCTCACTCACGTTGACCGAGTTTCTCCGCCAGCTCTTTAGGGAAAAGAAGAGCGAAATCGAAGGTCTGGAACTCGATGTAGCATCCATCATCAAAATGGTCGAGGACAAGACAAAGCCTAAAGGCAATGTTCCAGGAAAAGTAAGAGACCGACCAAAACGGCATATGCTCCCAAATGCTAATTTGCATAGGAACGACGAGATCACACAATCGGAAAACTTTTCGGTTTCAAGGCCATCATGCAATCATCGATTCTAATTGAACCTCAGGTTTCTCTTGAGAGCTGGAACAAGCTACTAGACCAGGTTTACAAGATGGCGCGCGACATTCCTTGGCTACGCGAAGAATGCGGCATGGTTCTTGTCGAAGCCGTAAGGAGCTTGAAGGGTCAATCACAGTATCAGAAGTGTATCGAGGAACTGCTCGAACGCCTCAACTCATTCCAGTTGATTTCAACCCCTGAGGGGGTAGCTGTATGGCTCACCGTCAAGGAAAGCTATCCCGAAGCCCTTCCAGAGGGTATCTGGCATGCCAAAGACCCCCTATCAAAAAAGGAGCGCCCTCGCTTGGCCAAAATCTTAAAGGAAGACTTCAATAAGACAGAATCAGAAGCCGGGAAGAAAGAAACCACAAAGACTGGAACCACGAACCCTAACCCGTCCTTTACCTGGGACCTGGTGTTCGCTGAGATACTGCGCAGAGACGAGGCAGCAAAAGAAGATGCCCAGAACAAACCAGAGTTTCCGCAATTCTGGATTGACACCGTAGATGGTAAGTTTATAGCGGTGAGAAAACACGGTTTCCTTGCACGACTAATAAAATGCAGGCAATCTCTTCTCTTCTTCCGCATCTCATGAACGCAAAGCCTGGGGGTTCAAGCTACTATCCAGTATGGTTACGCGAGTGCCTGATTGGGCTGTACCCGCACTTTTCAGTCCCAACCTGATGCGCACTCTCATCAACCAGAGCAAGAAGGAGGATAGATTTCTCCACTCGGCCGCATTAGCAGCGTTGAGTTCAGTCCAACTTCGGGTTGAGCAAGAAGACGGAACAGCATTGCCCGTCTTCGTTGCGCTAACATCAAAGAATGGAAGTGTTGAGTTTGACCGCATCACAAAGACAAAGACCCTCGAGCAAATTCTTTTATCAGTGGACGATAAGAGCTTGATGAAAATTATACGCCATCTCAAGTCGTTGATCCTGCGTCCAGAAAGCGAGGACCAAGCGGTTGCTGACAGCCGTCGACAAGTCATCGCGGACTTACTACTGAGCACGGTCAAACTCTACAAACGATATGAGAAGTTCAACGACAAAACTTTCAAGAAGGAGGTTGCTCATAGACAAGAAGGCCGCCCATTAGATGAGAGAAAATCGAATTGGCTTCGAGAGACCTTGGAGACGCTGGTGGAATATGCCTATTTTGTTCCTGCTCAAAACGCAGAAACCAAAAAGATGCCACTTCCGCCTGTCAGCGATCGCAGTAGGACGGTTTTCCAGGAACGCCTCTCTTCTTGTTTGACGAAGCTGCTTGATGTCAAGCTCGGAAGCCGCGCAGATGTCGCGCTACTGGTCATTGATATGATCAAAGCTAAGAGCGGAAAGTCTTCGAAATTGGAACTTGTCTTGAAGGCAGACCCCTCCATTCTGAGTACCATAAGGCGAGCATCGGCAACTCTTGCCACTATTTCTGAAGCTGTAAGTACAAGTTCTAGTCTCATTTTTGATTCGACTGACCCAAATTGTAGGGCTCGATAGCTGGCAACGAAATGGCTGCGCAAGGCTTCATGCTCTTGTACTCGCTTACCCTTCTGCAAGTTTACAATGGTGAAGGCGACGCTGTTATGATGCTCGACGACCTCGATGCTTCGTACACAGCTTTTGAAGCATCACGAAAAGCTTCGTCGAAGAAAAAAAAGTCTTCAGCACCCGACGGCCAGAATGCCTTTGTGGAAATTGTGCTCTCGTTCTCGGGCAACGCACGCACGTTGTTCCGTCGCATAGGAGAAGAGGCATTCTCTATCTTTGCTTCGGAGATTAGTGCTGATGGACTCCGATCGCTGACCGACATCCTGGATACGGAAGAAAACCTAGAGGGGCAGAGGGAGCTTTTCAACCAGGGTGATGAAGACATCGACGAAGATGGATCAAGCGAAGACGATGAAAATGACGATGAAGTGGACTCTGACGTGGAGATGATTGATGGAGAAGGATCCAACAGCGCTTCTGAGTCAAACTCCAGTGATGGCGACAGCGACAGTGACAGCGAAGGAAGCAGCGATGACGAGGACGACGAAGAGGATGCCGAGCTGACGCAGTTTGACAACATGCTGGCTATGACTCTTCAGACGTCCAAGCCAAACATCAATGGCGATGCAGCAGAAGAGACATCAGACGAGTCGGACATGGATGATGAGCAGATGATGGCGCTAGATCCACATCTCAGCAAGATTTTCAAAGAGAGGAGCAAGACAACAAGCAAGAAGAAAGAGCGGGAGGATGCCAAGCAAAACGTGGTCCAGTTCAAGTCGAGGGTGCTTGATCTCCTTGCCATATACATGGAGAAGCAATACTCGAACCCACTCACACTGGACATTCTACTTCCAGTGCTTCGCCGCACTCGCGCCAACGCAAACAAGCAGACGGCCGACAAGGCAGCTAAGATGCTCAAGACCTTCTTCGACACCCGCACAAAGCATAAGGCCCCTCTACCAAAGCCAGAGAGCACTGAGCCTGTGTGGGAACTGCTAAGGGGCATTCATGAGGAAGCAAAGCTGGGTAACGGGGCCAAGGTCCATGCAGACGCATGTGGCTCCGCTAGTCTACATGTTGCAAAAGTGCTCGTTGGCATGGATAGAGAAAACTATGCTGGCGTGGTAGATGTATATGCGGAGACACAGAAGCAGTGGTTCGCAGACAAGAAGTCTCCGCTTCAACCTGCACTTTTTACGCAGTTCCAAAACTGGTCCGTTAACGCGCGACAACAAGGAAAGTAAATTCGCGGTAAAAGTACTGGTAAGCATGGGTTGTAGTCCAATAGAGTAGTATGTGATTGATCGACATTTGAAGTTCTGACTGGGTTCTGTTCATCAAAGTCCACCATCAAAGCCGATTGTTACATGTGATGCACCTCCGTCATGTAAGCAGCAGGAATTATGCAGTCACGTGGAGCCGCTTTCCAACTACTGTACAGTCGTTGGTGGCGGTTCACTCATGTTTCAAGTCAGTGGGAATGGGAAGGTCCCCACTAGTCTTGCCCCGCGGCGGGGGTCTTCGGTAGCCCTAACGTAGCTGTCTGCCATGTCGTACCAAACATTTCTAGACTTGAATCCAGCAATCAACGCCATTTCTTTTCTCCACACAGCTCGCTCCCAGACATGGCTTGCAAGCACGTCAACGCACCTGGTCAGTTCTCCCCTGGCCCTGCCCAAGCAAAGCCGACATTTTGCAAAAACAGATTCAAGGTGGCAATCGCTCGAGTGAACGGCCTGCTGCCTTGGATATGATTTTCCGTGTAGCTTCTACTTCAAAGAGCGATGTACTAACATGATATAGAGCTGCGGCCTCCAGGCCCCACGCAGTCGGTCTACAGGGAAGACTGTACTCAGTGCTTCGACTCAATCGACGACCCCACCGGCCTCGATGTCTGCCTATACTGCTTCAACGGAGGCTGCACGAGCGATCGCAGCCATGCTCTCCTTCATGTCTCGTCTACAAACCATCCGCTTGTCCTCAACATTAAGCGCACACGAAAGCGAGTCCAGCGCGACGAACCGCCTCAGAAGATGACAAAGCTAGCTGTGGCAGCTGAAACCGAATCCGACCGCTACGACACTACAACTCAAGTCAAGTGCTACGAGTGTGGAGTTGACGACGTCGATAAGAGCTCTGGAAAGCTTCCGGACATCGTCGACGCGGTTCTCAAGGCCAACACATTCGCCAAGCAGCAAGAGGTCAAGGCATGGGAGCAAGAGCTGACCGCTTGCGAACATACACTGTGTCTCGAGCAGGATGCAGCACGGCAAATTGAGTCCCAAAAGCTTGGCCATTGCTCAGAATGCGAACTGAACGAGAACCTGTGGTTATGCTTGTCCTGTGGTAACTTGGGTTGTGGCCGTCAGCAGTTTGGTGGCGTTGGTGGCAACTCACACGGTGTTGGTCATACCAAATCAACGGGCCACCCAGTCGCAGTCAAACTTGGTTCCCTCACTGCTGACGGCACAGCCGACATCTACTGCTATGCTTGCGACGAGGAGCGCATTGATCCAGAGCTACCAGACCACTTGGCGCATTGGGGCATCAACATCAAGGACAGGGTGAAAACGGAGAAGAGTCTCACTGAGATGCAGGTTGAGCAGAATTTGCGATGGGACTTTGCCATGGTGACGGAGGACGGCAAAGAGCTGCAGCCATTGTTCGGATCAGAATTGACGGGATTAAAGAATTTGGGCAACAGCTGCTATCTCAACAGCACGCTGCAGGCTCTGTTTTCGATGCCCGAGTTCAAGGAGCGGTACTACTTGCCCGACCAGGCGCCACCTGATGCAGCACTTCCTGCAGAAGACCTGGAAACTCAATTGCGCAAGATTGCAGATGGCATGATCTCTGGTCGATACTCGAAGCCCGACACGGACGTCATTACCAACGAGCAGAGTCCGGAAATCCCGCACCAGCGCGGTCTTGCACCTGCGATGCTGAAGCACTTGATCGGGCGAGGCCATGCTGAATTCTCTACAATGCGGCAGCAAGATGCCTTCGAGCTGCTCCTGCATATGCTTAAGCTCATCTCTCGGTCACAGCACGTTGCACCCCACAAAGACCCTGTCGATGCTTTCCGGTTTGTTATGGAGCAGCGGCTACAGTGTGTTGGCTGTAAACGCGTTCGATATAGGACAGACGAACAGGAAAACATTTCGATTCCCGTTCCTATTCGTAGGATACCGAAGGAATCGCAAATGGACGTGACTGATGGCAATGGCAAAAAGCAAGAGAAGGACGAGTTTGAACCTGTGTCGCTGAAGGAATGCATTGACATTTTCACAGCTGAAGAGCTAGTCGAGCTTACCTGCAGTGCCTGCGGTAGTAAGGATGGGTTCACAAAGAGGAGCATGTTCAAGACCTTTCCGTCGATTTTGGCAGTGAACGCGAGACGCTTCGAGTTGGTGAACTGGGTACCTACGAAGCAGGATGTGCCAGTCATCGTTAACGACGAGCCCTTCTCATTCGATGCCTACAAATCGAACGGATTGAGTGAAGGAGAAGAACTCCTTCCCGATGATGTTGATATGGGGGGAGCTGGGGGATCAGCAGGCAAGTGGGTCCCCAATGAGGCGGCGCTATCGATGCTCGAAGCCATGGGCTTCCCAAGAGTCAGGTGTGAGAAAGCGCTACATGCTACAGGAAATGAAGATGCTGAAGCAGCGTCAAACTGGCTGTTTGCGCACATGGAGGATCCTGATATCGATGATCCCATCGACTTCAACGCTGGCTCGAGTGAGAACACGGCCGCTGCGTCCGCTATTGACCCCGAAAAGATTGAGAACCTAGGCGCTATGGGTTTCAGCGCTCCCCAGGCACGACAAGCTCTCAAGGAGACAGGCGGCGACATGGAGCGAGCTGTAGACTGGTTGTTCAGCCATCCGGATGCACCTGGTGACTTTGAAGAAGGTGGCAGCTCTGACGCCCCTGCTGATGCGACGGAGAAGGCATTAGCGGGTAGCGACAAGCTGCCTGCGAATTTCCAGTTGCAGTCGATTGTGTGCCACAAGGGAAGCTCGATCCATGCTGGGTAAGCTAAACAATCTAGAAACGTCGTTGGGCGGCATCGCACATGACCATGAACTGACACTGTACAGACACTACGTTGCATTTGTTCGCAAGCAGCTGGCAAACGAACAGTCGGCCTCGTGGGTTTTATTCAATGACGAAAAGGTGGCCAAGGCTGCAGATGTGGAGGAGATGAAGAAGTTTGCCTATGTGTATTTCTTCAGGCGTTTGTAAGACAAAGGGTCTAGGTATTGCATCACGGACTAGCATAGCAGGCGCGGAGTTGGCTCGGATTAGCATTGACAGTTGTAGCACAACCAGAAGGAGCTGGGTTTGAGGCGACGGCTGATGGCCAGTTGTTAGCATTGTAGAGATGAAGCAGATGCGGAATGTATTAATAGCAAAAGTTTCCATCTGATACGTATGCCGTGGATGGAAGCATCTGGGCTTTGCGGCGACAAAGAAGCTTTTGGCTGATGATGCATGCTCTCGGTCGATCGGTGAAACCGGAGAACCCAGGCCAAAACCAGCCCCCTTTATCATGAAATCCCAGCACCACGACAATATCATTTTGCACAAAAGTCGGATGAAATAAACGTGCCAGCTCAGAATTTACTGTACAGAAGCGCATATTAAGTAAATACTACTATTAGTGTTGTAGCAGCGATCGAAGCTTCAGGCGGACTTCATACTGTCGGCGCTGGGTTATCTCCGACTCGACTGGCCGACCATGAGACATGTGCTAAGTGTGGGGTAGTTGGCGCACAGATTACGTCGCCGATCACGCTTTTCCGCGCAGTACTTCTATTGCCCGTCGCCATCTATCATCTCCGCCACACCTACACACACACCCCAACACCTACCTGCTACCACAACAACTGCCAAATATCGATTTTTTGTACGAATAAACCGCGCATACCGAGTCTATCATCATGTTCAGGAGAGTCGCAGCAGCCGTGCCTGCCCAGGCCGGCCGAGTACTTGCAACCGCCGCGAGACCCAGCATCGCATCGCCCATCCGCACAGCAGCACCTGCAGTATCAGCAGTCGGAAGGCGACAGTACCACGAGAAAGATAAGTCACCTTTTACCTACCTAGCATGAAGGTGGATGGCATGGCGATATCGGGGAGCATGCAAGATTCACCTATGATTGGGCCAATCTTTGTCCGATAACAGCAATTATGTGAGAACGCTCAGCTGACATACGCAGCACTGCTCGATCACTACAACAGGCCACGAAATGTCGGCTCAATGTCAAAGACTGATAGCGATGTCGGCACTGGACTTGTCGGCGCACCCGCATGTGGCGATGTCATGAAGCTCCAGATCCGAGTCGACCCCAACAACAACACCATCAGCGATGTAAAGTTCAAGACATTCGGATGTGGCAGTGCAATTGCCAGCTCGAGTTATCTGACCGAGTTGGTCCGAGGCATGACATTGGAGGATGCGGCGCGGATCAAGAACACAGAGATTGCCAAAGAGCTCTGCCTGCCACCTGTAAAGCGTGAGTCTTTTTTTCGATCAAAGGTCGTGTGTGATGGGACGATACTAACTGGCTGCAGTACACTGCTCTATGCTTGCCGAGGACGCCATCAAGTCCGCCATCTCCAACTACTACACCAAGAACCCCAAGGCGCGACAAACAGATCTGGGTGGCAAGTCGGCGCCATTGCCAAAGGTTGAAGTCGAGACCGTATCCTCTGCGGCGGCCTAGGAAGTATATTGAGCATAAATTGATACCAAGACACCAAGGGAAAGGACGAAAAGTGGCCTATGGAGAAACCTGATGTTTAGTCTCTCGTTACTCAATGTATCGATTGGGGCAAGGGCGTTTTGTGCGTTAGGAATGTTGGCTTATTGTACAGGCAAGCCGAAAGAATACCTAAATTATCATCGCAATGAACAAAAACACTTGAATATTGAGATATATCAGTTTGGCCCATTCGTGAAGTATGTGCAATGTGTTCGAGAGAGGAAAAGAATGTTCCCAATGGTGTAAGTGACAGGACTGAGAAATATTAAATACTGGTGCGGAGAACTGGCGGGGAACTGGCTATGTAAGGTGAGAATCACGCCATGCAGGTGCTCCAGATCTCATTGTCCATCTAATTGTGCGTTTGTGTGATAGTGCGGTGTGGACCTATGACGCGTGTTTCTGGGGTACGGACCGAATGACTATTTGCTGCTCTTGCTCAAACATAGTCTTGCGATATAATGGAAGTACTGCTCTCTATCCACAGGTCCATACCCGGTCAGCAAAGTAGAAGTGTCTGCCAATGACGTTGTGGACCCTTCTACCTAGTAGTACCGTTCGCGACCTCGGTCCTTAGCACATCGACACTCCCGGACAGCCTACACGCTTCATAACAAACCCGTGCAGATTCCGGAACATGGCAACGGTGCAAGACGACAGCTCAGTATCCACAATACGCTTCAAGCGTCGCAAGACTGCCCACCCGAAGCGTGTCGCCGCTGAAGAAGATGCGCCTACTGTTACCTCGCAACCCCCAGATGCAGCCAGTTTGCAGCACGCGCCGTCGCACTCGACCGAAGCCAACAACGATGAAGAGTCGGTTCCCAATCTGAAAGAGATACTTCGCAACAGAAAGCGCCCTCGGGATCGCCTCAAGGAAGGCGTGCGCAAGGCAGAGGTTCCTCGAATGGACATGGTTCACATGGACGACGCACCGCGACCAGATCAATATACGGGGCGTTTTGTCGCACAGACGGGACAGATGGTGGATCGCGACGACAAGCAGATGTAAGTGGAGCATGCGATAGGGCCCAAAAGGTCGTCGCGTCTGGGTGTGGCAAGTGTAGACACTGATGTGCTAGGTCGGAATACGTAGAAGCCCGCATGGCTGAAAAGAACTATCGCCAACACGGTTGGCCCATCCCACAGCACCTTCAAGCTTCAGTAGCAGCCATCGCGCCGGATTTACAACACACATTTACTTCAAGAACATCCTTGCGTGCGCCAGTGGGAACAGAGAATCCGGTAGATAAGGAGCATAGCGAGCGATTAGCAGCGGGCCAGGGCAAGCTCCAGGAAGTAGATTTGGGCCCAGAAGCCAAGGCGCGCATCGAGCAGGCTTGGAGAAGACTGGAGAAGGGCGAACCTGAACAACCAGCGGGCAGGGCGCAGCGAGACAAGTATGGCTATGCGTGGCGCAAGCCGAGAGGGGGTGGGAAGACGGACGAGGACAAGAAGCGCGATCAGATGGTTGAGGCCGTACTTAGCGAGGCAAAGCGTATGTCTTGCACCATATTTCTTTCTATCCGTTCTTTCATCCCTACTAACCACTTTATCCCACAACAGTCGACTACTTCGATGCCCCCGCCCCATCTATCCCGCCCATCACAACCTCCAACCATGCAAACACTGAAGACGCGCTCGTCGAACAATTCCGCACCGAATATTTCGAATCCATGGAACAAAGACGCCAGCATCACGCAGCTCGTAAAACAGCAGCGTCAGCAGCTAAAGGTGCGGCGCCATCGATTTCAGGACCGAAGATGGGAGGTAGTAAGAGTGCGAGGGCCAGGATGCACAAATTGCAGCAGGAAGAGTTGGCTAAGAAGAAGAGGTGAGACAAGATGAATGTGTAGATTAAATTTTTCTTGAATAAGAATAATGGTATCGAAAATGTCGTACGTACATATAAAAACGGACAGGAGTTTATAACTCAAATATATCGAAAAGGGGAACCCAAAAAAAACGCCAAACCCCCTCATTTTACAATCATTTCATACAGCCTTTCCGTGCGGAAAATCCAATATATCCCAGATCCTTTCCCACATACACACAGAAAAAAAACCCCCCGCCTTTCCCTTTTCTCTAATACCCTCAAATCTTCCTCGGTCCACCACCTCCTTTCTTCCCCCCTCCCACACTCCCTCCTCCTCCTCCTCCTCCTCCTCCAGACGTAATCTTAATCGGCACTCCACTCTTCGTCATCACCGTCCCTCCTCCTGCTCCCCCAGTCTGCTTGACCTTCTTCTGCGCCTCCTCAATCTCCTTTTTATCAACCCTAATCACAACACCGTTGTTCAGCGTCACGGTACCTGTTTGCTTGGCCTGCTCGGCTTGTGTCTGGGGGATTTTGATGGTGACGCCTGAGGCGAGAAGGACGTCCTTGGTGGGGCCGTTGGGTACGGTGGGTTTCTTTGCTGGGGTGTTGGGTTTGGAAAGGGTGGGTTTCCTGGTCGCTCCTGTTCCTGCGGCGGTGGCGCTTTGGGCTTTACGGATTGGAAGTTTAGCATTGCCGTTGGGGGGTTGGAAGGTTTTTGGTGGTGGTGGTGGTGGCGGCATGGTTGAGGTTGGACGGCGCATGCCGTTTGGTAGTACGGCACCGCTTGATATCGCAGTTTCCTTTACCAGTTTTGCGAGGTTTTCCTGCGTGAGGCGTTGGACGTTTGACATTTGGTCTGGGGACGCGGCTTGTTCGGCGCCCATTTTGGCGGCGCCTTCGATCATTTTTTCGAGTTGGTCGGGGCTGGGGAGTTTGCTCAGGTCGCCGGTGCCTTGACCTAGGAGCATCTTCATGTGGTTTTCGAAGAATTCTTTGCCGCCGGGTATGGGTATGTCGTCGGGTGAGGCGCCGTAGGCGACGGTCAGGGCCATCATGATGGATGTTATAGGCGCAAAGATTTTGACGAATTCGTTCCAGTTGCCACTCTTGACTTCGGTTTCGATCTGGACTGCGGGACGAGGGACGGTGCGGATGGTTTTGCCGTTGCTGCGGCTGGACTCGCTCCTGACGTCCATGTCGAGGTGGTCTTTCCAAAAGTCTTCGGCGGGGAACCGATTGTTGCGGTTGAAGTATTCAAGCATGTAGTCCTTTTCTCGCCAGCGGTTTCTCAGCCATACTTCGAATGCGTGTGTGTTTTCGTAGGGAATGTCAGCGAGACGGAAGCGGCGCCAGTGCATGTTTACGGATTTCGGGGGTCGACCTTCGAAGAATGAGGAGCGGAGGGTAAAAATGTCTTGTCCATATTGGCCTGGCGGTATCCCTTCGTATGCAATCGTGCAGTCATAGAGCCAATCTGTAGTGTCCTTCAGTTCGTTGAGACAAAATTTTAGACCCGTACTGCGAGGAAGTAGTTGATGCTTCATATCCTGGAGTCCATTCTTCTCCGCCCACTTCTTGCTTTTTTCCCGAGTCGTCGGAGATAGGTTCGTTCCTTCAGGGAAGATGATGAGCCACATAGGATCGTCCTTCTTATTCAGCCTGGAGAGATGCTTCTTAAATGTTCTTTCGTCCTCTTCCCACTTCCTCGATAGAAAGATGAAGTTGTAGAACTGTGCGCCCCACCCTATAATCGGTATGTTCTTCAACGACTCCTTCAGAATGATGTAGATGAAGCCATGCATGTTGTTCGTATAGGCAATCCACCATAGGTAAAGCCAGTCGGTGTAGAGTTGGTGGTTCGCCATGAGGACCATACGGTCTGCAAAGTTACATTGAAGAGAACCGTCTTTGCGCTTGATGAGCTGACCGACCATGGTGGAGTCGCCAGAGACACGGACGACTGTTGGTGCCCACCATTGAGTCAGGCAGGTGATGAGGATGGCGAAGCATTCTTTGGTATAGGCCATATATCCATCGTAGAATTGAGGATCGATGAGTTTCAACGGCGCGCCTAGGAACTGCGAAGCGCTTATGCTACGATACGTCAGTTTGATTGTACCCCGATGGCGACAGCTGGATATGCATACGCTAGTACTCCAGACAAAAAGGTCGAGGCCAATGTGAATGCTCTCTCTGCCTGTGTCAGCTCGCCATAGCGCGGCGGCCCAGCTGGATGCGCATCAACATTGTCTTTTGAGATTCGCAGCCCGGCACCCAGGTCGTCCTTCTTCTTCCTCTTGACCGACGCCGGCACCGGTGTTCTAGTCGCTGATTGGCCCGCAGCAGCGCCCGTCGACAGCTTAGCGGGAGGTTTGGGAGCCGTTGACTTGGTAGTGGGCGTAGGCTTCTTCGTCGCTGGTGGCATCTTGAATAGTGGCAGAAACACACAAACATTCAAATGTCCAAACGGCAAACACAAGGCCTCGCACCCTCCCCCCCAGTAACGGGCTACCCGCGACCCGCGACGTCAGTGCAGGGTCGAGATCAAGACGGCTGCTCCACTTGTGTCCCGTCAACCCTGGTCTGTCAGCCGCGATATGACGTCGATGTGTGGCGCTGTGCACTATGGCCACGCCAAAGCAAGATATGGGACCATAACCATTCCCTCTCTGCTAGCTCGTTAGCTTCCTCACTAAATAATATACGCACTCCGCAGTATACATCTTGCTCCTCAATAGCATCGCCTGTATTTCCTCTCAGAGTCATCATCCACATTTTGACTAAGCAGTAAGTAGTCCCCCCTTGGACAGCCAACCCTGCCTATGTCCAGTATTGGTAGATATTCCAAGTCCATCCACTGACACGTATCCATCAGAATCATTCTCAAAAGAAACATCACACATCTACCACAATGCCTGCCTCAGTAGCCTCAGCGCCCGTCAGACACACTCCCAACAAGACGACTCCTACAAGAAACGTCAAGAAGGCAGGCACAGCCGCAACCAAGAAGCCTCAAACAAACGGCGCCGTAAACGGAGCCACAAACGGAGCATCGCACCCCCAAATGTCGCCTTACACCATCATGGCCTCGAGAATCGCCAACCGCGTCGCCGAGATGGCAGAAAACATGACGTTTGTCGAGCGAGAAAAGTGAGCTTCGTGCCCTCTTCCCTTCAAAGAAAACCATTCACTGACTGCGATCAAAGGCCTCAGCCACAACAAAACGGTGCCGTGCAGCCGCAAGCTGCGCCCCGCAAGCCCCCGCGAAAGCTCGAAATGCGCATCCCCAACAGCGGCGCTTCACCTACAAACATCACTTTTAGCGCCCCATTCCTTGACAATACGCTGTCGAAGCTGTTGACACTGCAGAACCGCATGTTGACTGTCAGCAACGACATTGCTGCGTGCGAGGATGTCGACGAGAAGACGAAGCAGGAGCAATTTGCGCAGAGTGCCGAGTTGAGCCGCATTATCGCACTGATTTGTGCTGAGAAGGCTAGGCAGGGTGCTTAGCTATTCTTTTTTTTCTTTCTTTTCCTTTGCTTATTTCGGGCTGAATGATAGCATGTCATGTCTTCACCACGTTATCATTTGTTATTTTATTTTACAGTGGCGTTTAGAGGCGGTAGTTCCGTATGTATAACGAAATAGGTGGCTTTTTTTCCAACGTAGGTAAAGCATAGCTTTGTTTGTACGAATAGTTATAGATGAGAATGACAACAAAAATCTTAATACGACTGCAAAACTCTTTTCCTGTTCAGTTGCTGTCTCGTGATGTTGACCTGGTAAGGTTACCCCTGAAACAAAAGTAAAATGGCCTTCTCACTAAAGGAGGAAAATTGACACTTGCCACATATGCCCTTTACTACAGCACGCCGGGCCCCGTCACGCCCAAAGGGCCCAGAGAAAACCTGCGTCTTGTATCAGTGATCGACACGCGCCATGGCTGAGTTGGGCAGGACATTCTGTGGTAAGGTGTACGTCATGGAAATGCGGGGGTTGCTGCGGCGGGATAGCGTAGTCGCACGCACGCATCCCTGCATTCTCGAAACCGGTTCCAAAGAGTTGCGCGGTGGCGCGCTTTTTGCCGCAATGACAAGAGATCGGCGGCGAATTGGGGGGAAAAGAGGGTCTAGGTGAGTCTGGAGTGATGGCTGTGTTCTGGGAGAGAGATTGAGCTTCTTACTTTACTTGTTAATACATACTGCATTCTACGTTAGGGTTGCATCTAGACCTGCTCCGTACCCTGTCTTGTAACTGATACTGTCGAATCTATTGCATTTGCCAGCTTGAGAGATTAGGCGTCGTCGCTGCCTCTTGTTTTGTTGCATCTGCGAAAATGACGAGCTTTATTTCAAACATCATCTGGAACTCTGTCGAGGGGTTCGTGGATGCGGGGAAGAAATCGGCGGGCGAATTTGGCGGCAATGCGTTGATCAAAGCTGGGGATATGATTGAGAATAGCGGTAGGAGTATAGGAACCGGTAGGTTTGACACTTTTTTGCTCAGCTCCCGAACCCTCTAAATTCATATCGAATGCCATATCCTCGAATATTCTTCGGAAATGCTGACTGAACCCATCTCTTAGGCATAGAAAAAAAGGCTACCAGCTATGGCACTGCCATCACGGGTCAGCCTTATAAGCCTTCAGCAAAGGCCTTGCCTTCGACTGCCCGTAAGCCTGCAATGAAGCGCTCGAATTCTACGCCTGTGAATGTCAAACCACCGACAAGCGGATTACCCTTGGGCGCGAAGAAGTATCCTGGCGGAAATCAAGTACAAGGAGCTGTAGGCGGGGCCAAGAAGACGGCAGGAGGAGTCAATAAAGCCATTGGAGGCGTCACAGGGACCGCGTCCAAAACGACTGGAGGCGCCGTAGGTCGTGCAAACAGCACAATCGGCACTCTTTCATCCACGGCAGCAAAAGGCCCGGGTAGCATCGTAGGAGGTGGTCGGAAAGCGCTCGGCGGAGCTACCAAATCTATCCCCCCGTTCAAGGGTCCAGGTCCAACATCTGCT